AGGAGAAAATGGAAAAGGGATTTGAAATAAGGAATAGAACAATGAAACAGGCTGTACACCTCATAAACAATCTGAGCAGTGTTAGTGAAAGAGAAGAGGACAAAGAGAGAATGAAGAATAGGTGGTTAGTGAGGGCCATGCTACCCACATTGCATGGCAAGGTGACATGAGGGGAAAGATCCTGAAAAGTCAGTATATTCCACAGCTGGTTCCTGCTGGATTCTTTTCATTTGTTTATGGCCATTTCCAAGAAGTATGGTTTATTTTTAGCTGTTCCCAAGAAGCATAGCAATTGTCCAGATATACATTCAATATAAAATCAATAATGACTTGATTGGATTGATTGGTTCAATAACAATAGCATTGTACACAGAACGACACAGTACATTATAAAATAATTAATATTCCTCTGCTTGAGAGGGCTGGCACAAATCTAGGTACCACAATAATGAGAGACATGTCACAGTCCAAGAATTCTGGGAACCAAAGGCTGTTATAATTTCACAATAAAAGATCTGTAGTTTTAAGTAACACAGTTTCCTTTTAAGTAATAAAATTATAAATAATAATAAGTTTTCCTACTTTTTATTTTAACTTTCTCCCTGACCTCTTTTCACATAGAAAGATTTTTTAGATAAGATTAATAGGATAATAATTAGTGACCATAAAGAAAGAAAATTTCCCCTAGTTCTTATGTTAGATATAGCGTGTAGGCTGACATAATAATGGCAGAAATAGTGATTAATAGAAGCTCCTTTTATAGGTCAAAAAAGGCATTTTTTTCTTAGGGGTAGGGAAATGTCCATGTTGTTGTTTTTCTGACTCCTAGTTCCTTAACATTAGATCCTGTACCTTTAAGATGTATGTTCATTGACAAATCATTGTTTAAGTTGTAATAGCTAACTGAATCACTACAGAGACATTTTGTATATTGTTAACTGATCACCATAGAAATATTTTGTTTGATAACTGATCACTATAGGAATATTTTGTTTGATGACTGAACACCATAATGACTGGCCACTATAAAAACTTGTGTATCACCTGTACTTTTAATTAATGAATGATGATATCACAGCCTCAATAAGAGATAAAAAAATACCGAGCTGTCTTTAAGAAAAATGTGATAATTGTTAAGCTTTCTACTTTATGCACACACTGATGTATTCCCACCGCTTGCTTGTAATGTATAAATAAAGACCTGCTGGGACATTCCGCAGAAGATGCTTTCACCCTAAACAGGTGTTTGCGTCTCCTCATTTTTTTACCACATCTTTTTTTCTCTGTCTCTCTTTTTTCTTCACCGACGCCATCCTTTCCTGTGGGAGACCTTCACTACCTCAGCTAAAGCTGGCCTTCAGCAGGGGTGAAAGATTTCAGGGAGACAGACAGACACAAAAGGTTAGAGACTGAAGATTGAAAAGTAATACCACATGGGGACAAATATTGAGGTGTGGAGATGAGAGAGAGAGGAGGAAAGGATAGAAGAAGGAAAGGATAGATGAAGATGAGTTGGATACTCGCAGACAGAAATGCATATTACTATTTTAACTGATCTTATATAAGCTTTATTTCTTTGAAATTGAGAATGACAGACATTGATTCCAATTTTTCAAATTCCCTTAATAAATATTCAAGCATCTTCAATTGTCCAATTGTGTTAAAATTACATGAATATGAGGATTTTCTTAGCTTTAGACTTGAAAAAAAGAAAAAGAGACTGTGGTGGGCTTATTCCAATCTGATCTAAATTTGTTTGTATTCTTTCTGATTCACATAGAAGCATAGGTTCACACATTCCTGATAGGTCAAAGGGGAATCATTAGGATAAAAATATTTCCAGAGTCTTCACATCCTATAGGTGTAATAAATGGGACCCAAATCAAAGCAGTAAAGTGGATTGTAGTAACACACCTAAAAAAACAAAGCAAAGCAAAGCAAAGCAGAACAAACAAAAGAAAAAAAAATCTGCTTGTGGGATGGGAGAGGAAGAACAGCTAAATTATATATATATATAAAAATGAATAGAGAGGTGGGATCCAAATCATTCATGGACAAAATATATTTAATAAAGGAACTGAAATTGTTGGGTTAGAAAAATTAGCTAGAATTTAGGAAATATATAGTTATTTTATTGAGTGATGAGATGTGGTTTGCTAGTGAGGATACTGGTCTTAATTATATTCAGAGGAATATGGCACAGAGTCTAGTAATAATCTCAATCATCTGCAAAGTGTATTTTTTTCCAGCAAGGATTATGTTTATATTAGAGACTAGTTTCCTCTCCCAATCACTCTATCACTGGTTTTAGTCTTATATTTTGACTTTGAGTTCTCTCATTTCAGAACTGTAGGAAATGACATTGTGCTAAGTAACTTCATATTCTCTCTCTTTCTAGACATTTCTAGATTAATGTTTCCAATTAGACCAGAGAGAAGTGATTTGTTCTTCACTGAGAAAATTTAACAGGGCAATGAGCTCTTCATGGGCACTACAATATAATTTTCCTAACCACTGAGTGGAGTTGCTTATGCTTTACATTCACCAGACTCTGTTGATAAAGGGCATGACAGTAAAATAGTGAACAGATGCATGCTTTGTGAGGGGATGTCATTTCCCAGCCTTTGTTTATTATCTTAAAGACAAGTTAACATATTAAAATATCATTTTGTTCTAGAATGGACAAAGTTTGTGTGAAGTCATCATACTCTAGAAGTAAGATGACATATGAAACTCTCTTCCTTTTTCAGCTTCAAGTGGACCTCTGATCCATCCCAGTAGTGAAACACAGCCCTGCCATCCTGTTATTGTTATGTTGTAGGTAGACATAATAGTTGTTACTATATAAGGTCTTTTCCAAACTGTGGTAACACTTTACTGAAACAAATTGAGGCAGAATGATAGTTTGGTTCAGTACATATCTATATCTATATATCTATATCTATATCTATATCTATATCTATATCTATATCTATATCTATATCTATCTATCTCTATCTCTATCTCTATCTCTACCTCTATCTCTATCTATCTATATCTATATCTATCTATATCTATATCTGTATCTATCTATCTATCTATAACTTGTTGGCTCTATTGTTTACAATCCACTTTAATTTTATTTAATATAATAGACTGGTTACATGGGAAAGAAAACAGAAGTGCAAGGAACTCAGCTTTATTGTCAAAGACAGAAATGTTGGAAACTAACAATTGATATTTGGGTAAATGTGTATGGATAGATCATATGTTCTTCATATGCCTGCTTAGTTATTGTCAAAAAGTCTTCTGGTTAATAACTCTCCCATCTCTCTTTGCTCCATGCCTCTATTGGCATATGCATTTCTCTTTGCACAGATAAATTATACTTACATTCACTTATATGAAGTGAATCACTTATATGAAGACTGCCCTGAAACTTTGTTACTTATCTGGTACCTAAAAATATTTATTCCATATAATATTTGACATATTTGGAACTTCAAACTGTCATCATTTTCATCCCAGAGAATTGTGGATAAATTAACAGAAACACCTTCTAATTATTGATGTAATGTCTGATTTACAGCCCTTCTTTTTATTCTTAGTCAAGGTACATCTCTTACTCCTCACATTTCCTTCTGAACTGTGAGTGATTGTGTCTAAATAATTTTCCATTGTGCTGATACAGTCACCCAAATAAGTTACTTGAATGTACTAGTAAGTTATTAAGTTCTTTAGGTTCATCTGTAGTCTATGATTGAATTGTCAGATGTTAGGACAGTAATATTTTCTATTTTTCCCCTTGCTGAAATATATATTTTTATTCTTATGCCATGACATGGCAAAAAGTCACTAGAAATGTAAGAACAAATTCATTATAGTGAAAACAAACAATTCAAATTCATTATTGTGGAAACAATTAAATTTAAAAAGAAAAAAAGAAAAAATCCTCTTAAGAGATAGAAACAAAGACAGAATGAGAATATTATTATTCCAGGAATAAGAATTTTAGGACAGAGCTAACAATAAACAAGAAAATGGTATTTTCAGTTTTTGTGTGCAGAAGAGGGCAGACAGGGTCATATCATCTAATTATATCCTAGACTTGAAGTTAATCCTAATATGGAAGACACAGCAAAAATTTTCCATTGTACTGATACAGTCACCCAATCTAATAGACACAGCTTGAAGACACAGCAACCCTATTGAATTTTCCCGGTTTTAACTTAGGTTTTGGCACTTCTGTTTTTCTAGCAACAGAGTATAAATTGCTGAATAAGTATACATCTATATACAAATTTAATGTAAAAGTAGTTATGATTACAAAAATTCTTAAAATGTATATATTTGATTATGGGTACAATTTCATTAAATAATTGAATTTTTAGACACTAAAAGAGTGTTTTCATTATTTTTTGTTTGCTTATTTATTTTTGTCTATGATCTAGTTTCTTCATTTTAAAGATTGGTAACCTAGAACTCGATTTACTTTTAGCTTTGCTTTTGAATCTTTAGGAAGGTGGAGCATTTGTGGACTCTCATTGCTGTTAGCTTCTTTCAAGGACAAATTGATAAACATTTCCTTGGTGGCTGACTAAAACATCATTTATTCAGACATCTTTCTTGGTAAAAATTTTATATCATTACCATCATCATTGTTATCTCGACCACGGTGGCTACCATCATTTCAATGATATCATGCTCATATTTACTACCACAATTCTAACTACCATTACCACCATCACTACCATCACCACCAACATCAACATCATCATCAATTCTGACATGCTTAACTCCTGGAGGCTCAAAATCTGAGATTGTAGGTCTAATATAAAGAAAACATGAGGAAGAGAAGCATATTTGGCCAAGTCTTTATAACTTAAACGTATAACTTATAAGGATGAAAGTATAAGTATAACTTGAATTGTAGTGTTTCCACTACAATTTCAAATATGACCAGAACTGAGATTTGGACTAATTTAAACTGAAATAGAGCTAGTAATTAGAATGCACCATCTCTATGTGGTATAGCTTGAAGGTTGGAAGTGTATCAGTACCCTTTTCAGAGCAATCATAACCTCTTTATTCCTCAGACTGTATATGAGGGGGTTCAACATGGGGGTGAGGATGGCACCAAGCATAAATAGAACCTGGTATAGTTTGGGATTGTGGTAAGAGCTGGGCCTCATGTAGACAAGCGTGGCTGGACCAAAATAGAGGCCCACAACAGTCAAGTGGGAGGAACATGTGGCCAGGGCTTTGTTTCTGACTTCATGAGTGTTTATTCAGAGTACAGCCAGCAAGATGAGAGCATAAGAGGAGAGGATAAGGGATAAAGGATAAAGGAATGAAGAGCACTACAATGCTTGTCATCACCACAGCCTTCTCATATGCAGAGATGTCTTCACAGACCAACTTTAGGATGGCCATCACCTCACAGAGGAAATGTGACATCTCTCTGGAACCACAGGTAGGGGAATGTATGGCATAAGCTGTGTGTACTAGTGATGTTAAGACACCCCCAACCCAGGAAATGACAGCCATCTGAACACAGACCCTTTTACTCATTATGAGGGCATATCTCAGAGGGTTGCAGATGGTCACATACTGGTCATAGGACATGAGGGTTATGAGGATGCACTCAGCAATTCCTAGAGTCAGGAAGAAGATCTGGGTTCCACAGGCCACACGTGAGATATTTTTTCTTCCTGAGATGAAATCAGTTGCCATCTTGGGTACAACACTAGAGATTAATGTCAGGTCCATGAGAGCAAGCTGGCTGAGGAGGAAGTACATCGGTGTGTGAAGTTGAGAATCTACCCATATCAGGAGAATAAGGATGGAATTTGTGGTAAGAGCCACACTGTAGATCAGGAGGATGGCAGAGACAAGTAAGTTGCCATGTTTCATACCAGGGAAGAGGCCTAAGAGGATAAAATCCATATTCAAAGACTCATTCCTCTTATCCATGTTTTTTGCTATTTAGAAGTAATCAATCCTGAAAAAGAAAAAGACAGAGTTGCAGAAATCACCAAGATTTATTTATATATGCTTCTTAAGTTTTTTATCCTTACCCATTTCAGCATTCACAGGCTATAATACTTATGCAAATTACAGTTTTGTTCTGTCAACAGAACAAAATGATACTAGCTGGGACTGTGTCCAGCTAGTATCACTGCATCCAGTAGCAGTGACTCAGAGTCTATACTACTACCTCCCTTCCTTTCCATTTATTGTTCAGAGTTCTCTTTATCCTCTCCCCATTATGCCATTTCACACTCCTACTTGAAACTTTGAAAAATGTATGACATTTACTCTATTCTCACTTAATCCCACATTTCCTCATCCTACTATGTGCCAGACACTGTGCTAAGTCTTAGGGAGACAAAGATGAATATTATAGTGTCTGAAGTAAAAGACCTTAACCTTATTGAAGAAGATGACCAGTAAAAGTTAAAAATGAAGAAAAAATATATGAAAGATGTTATAATGAAAGAGCATAGATGACACATTGTATGAAGTATGCAAAGTAGACTTCAAATTCAAAAGCTAGGGGAATTTCATAATGGCAATGTCTAGCCTCATACAGCCTAAAAAACTAACAAAAGCTCCAGAAGCACTGATTTTTAGACTGAGCACCATGGACTTGTTGGCTTTTGAATAAAAAGGTATCCCAGAAACAAGTCCTGAAAAGTTAAGTGGTTTTCCCAAGATCATATCATATTTAATGTTGAAGGTAAATGACTAAATTTTATGTCCCAGCATTTTTCCAATTAGCTCACTTTCAGATCATCATTAAATAAATTCTTGATAACATGTTACTCAAATATAGCCTTGTAATGTCTGTGATTGATTTACCAAGGTAATGCTAGTTCCTTTAATAGATCATGTCCCCAAGTTTTAGTGGCTCTGAAAATAGAAGTAGATGTTTCATCAGATGAAGTCCAAAATAGGCATTATTGAGAGTCAGTGGCTTTCTTTTGAGTGACAATTCAGGGACCCAGACTCCTAACTTCTTGTTCTTACCATCAGCACTAATTTTAAGATCATTACATTCATCTGCTTCAAGCAAACAGTCGGCAAGATATGAAAGTTTAATGAGTCAAGCCTCAACATGTTCCTTTAATATTTAGAAACAGTTACATGGCCATATCTTACTGCAGGGGAGATTGGGGAGTGTGTCTAGGTCAATACACAGGGAGAAGTGAGAGTAAATTTGGTAAAAAGCTAAGTTAATTTGTGTTTTGGTAATGTACCAACTGATTCACAGCTGGGAAAACTGCATTTAAAAAAATTATTATTTTTATTTTATATACATTTTATACCATTCTTCCTTTTTGTACAATGTATGCTTTCTCCTCTCAGTTATAGTCCCCGTGAAATTCACCCATCACCATCACCACAGTCTGTTATGCTCTTTCTCCATTTCTTTACCATTTATTTTAGACATAATGATAGTTCTAATATTGAACTGACTTCAGCATACTTTTCTGATATGAATATGCCATCAGAAGAGAGTTAATTTCTCACTCCTTTTACATGGTTTTGATTCTTGGTGTTTTCAGAATAGAAATGAATTTTCTTTGGAGACTATATTGGTTATCAATTGATGCATAATAATTATAAAATATATCTATTACCACACAGTTCTTTCTTTCTGAATGAAATAGAGAGATCTATGTCTGAAGATCTCTGACAATTTTGTAGCCAGAGTGCTGTCTGGTGCCATCGTTTTATCTGAATTCTCAACTGTGCTTGGGTCTACTTCTAAGTTCACTCAGGTTCAGTTCAGTCTTGCTGGGTTGTGGAATAGGGACTTCTTCAGTTCTTTGCTTTCCATATGATAACACAATGTGGCTGGTGGCATCTTTCAACAAAGAAAGAAAGAGGATGAAGGGGAGAGATGCAAAATTGGATTAAGAAGGAAGGAAGTCATAGAATTTTCACAACCTAATACAAGAAGTAATGAGTAATGAGGTCCAACTCGAGGAAATAATTAGATGAGGTATGAATGCTGGCAGACTAGGATTACCAGGAGGACAGGATCTGTTTCGTAGATTTTGAATTTTATTTTATTTTATTTATTATTTATTTTTAAAAAGATTTATTTATTCATACAGAACTGGGGTACAGGCCAGAGATGCGGAGGGTGAGAGGATTCACCAGGGACACAGTGTGGAGCAGAACAGGCAGATTGACAGAATACACTGCTGAGGGGAGCAGCGGGTGGGTCAGGAGAGGTCTGCTGCGCCATGTGGTCACCTAAGGGGCAGGCAGGTATCGAACTCATGCGGAAGTGGCTTAAGCTTCTTAGTGCTGTGCTTTACCCCGCTGCGCCACCAGGGGGGGCCCAGATTTTGAATTTTAGAGTTGCAAAACATCTTAGAAAAATCTACTTCACTCTTAGCCCTGGTGATTTTTACTTATCATTTCAGTGATGAAGAAATTACAGTTTCCAAAAAGTAAATGATTGGGTTATGAATACACAGTTACTTAACAATGCAGGAACTGTACTCCTATACCCAGTTCTACTATTACATTGACTTTCCTGACTACCTGAAGGAGTTTAGAACAAATTATTGTTTGAGTTACTTTCAACTGATCATATTCACTCTTTTTATCTTTAGAACCCTTAGGGTACAAACAAAGGTGCTCCAAAAATCAATGTAAAACTCAGTTTTACTGAGTTTACTGACTTTGAGAGAATATTTACAAAGCTGCGAATATAACTAATTTGCACCTTTCAATTGTTGATTTGTTATAATTTATATGTAGATTTGTATCATCTAGATCATGCTATAAATATTTATATATTTGAATCCTGGATGCTTATAAATCTCATTTTTGTGTAATATATTTAAAAAATTACTCATTTAAAAGGTACTCACATTCAGTCCTTAAGTATTTAATGAAGATCTGTAAATATCTATGTCAATAAATTTTGAAATACTTCTTTGTCTTGGCAAAATTAGTGTTTTCATAACTTACTTTATTTATAATAATTGGGATGTGGATAATTTCAGGTGGGCAGCAAGATTGTGTGCCCTGAAGAGGCAGACTAGAATCATCATCATGGTGACTATGTTTTGTGATAGATTCTTTGCTTTGTTTTAAACCTGAATTATTAGGTATAATTATGTGCTCTACAACTTTTCCTTTCCTTGGGTCTCAATCCTTGTATTGTCACATGTGTAAATGTAGATCTTTGCTTCCCATTGCTCACAGCCCTGATGTAAAGCAGTGAACAGTTGGGTTGGAATATGCCGACCCTTGGGGTGGAGCATGCTGATCTTTCACATTTCTGGTGAGTACATGTGCCAATGAATTATTTGTCTGTTGATGTGACAGAGTTACATTCTTCCTGAGTTCTGTCCATTCTGTGTGTGTGTGTGTGTGTGAATTACTTTTCAGCATGGAAAGTAATTCCCTGTTAAACCCCTCAACAATGGATCTGATAAATATGTGTCATGTGATCTAACAGGCTGTTTCCAATGAAGATACTGATCTCCTTAGGCCTTAGGAAATAAACCCAGGAGTCAAGGACATACAGACCTCTGAAAAAGTCAGCCCTGGATTCAAGGACCAACTGGCAGAGAAGCAGATTGTGGGAATATTCCTGACAAGTGTCAGACCTGATACAAATTCAGCACTTCTATTTTTATCCTCTCTTCTTTCATCTTTTGATTCGCCTTTATTCACATACATATTTACTACAAATGAACAAATTTAGGTTCCAACAAGCACCCAAATCTTCCTTTCTCACATTTAAAATTCTACTTCTTCTCTTAACATTCCTTTTTACTTCTTTTTCTTACTTACCCATCAAGTTTGTTACATCTTTATCTACATGTCCTTATAGTACCTCCACTATCTGTGTCTTTACAAAGTCTCTCCCTTTCCACTTTCCTTTCATAGGGAAATAATCCTAATTTCTCTGATGGTTTCCAGAGGAAAGAAAAAATATATTTGGACAGGAAATATGTCAGTACAATGAGATGGGCTTTGTAATTTCTGATTTGTTGCTGTCTATAATAATCATGATGGGTAGAACATTCTTTATAGAACAGACAAAATTAGAGGAACCCACAATTTACTACTACTTCTGAGGGTTTTATTTTTTCATTATGTATTCTAAATTTTATCACTTATGAAAAATTTTTTAACCTGTTAATTTTCAAATGAACTCATCAGTAAAAAGAGGAAATGGATTGTCTCTTTTCTTTAGTTTAAAGTTAGTTTTTTTCAACTGACAACTCACAATGATATGAAAATGTCTTCTTGAAAACTAACCTAAAATATTAGGTTCGTTTATGAAATACTTTTTATCTTAGCCCCCCCCAAAATACGGACATCATTGAGATGAAATTGTTTATGACATATACTAGTTATAATCAAGAAAAACATATACCATAAAAGAGAATATTTCTCTTTTTTCTATCATCTTATCTCAGTTTCTTGTTTGAATCTGTAAGTACATACTTTACAAACTATGTATTTCTTTGCCTTTATCCTTTTTATATATACATTTATTTTTTTTTTTGATAAGCCAATCAGGTAGGCTGGAATGATCATTTCTCATTGTCATCATTGCATGAAGTCCATGAACTGTTTGTTAGCTTTTTTATACTCAAGAAGTTCTCTCTGCACTTGTTTCTCTGCACAGTTTTCTGCAATGACCTTTCTATGTTGTCTTCTCTCAAAGGGTTCAGTGAGACAAGAATCAGAGGCCTTGTTGGGTCCCTGTAGATCCTTGTGTTGTCCTGGTTACTTGCAGTGGGCTTTGCTCTGAATGACTTGCACATGGGAGTTGTTGTGGATTATAATTTGAGATTGAAACACAATATTGAGTTTGTTCTGGAATTTGAAATGAAACATGATTTCACTTTATTTATGTTATACAATATTAAAGAGCACAATCTAAGGTGCAGATGATATGTGTTTTATCTAAACATGACAAGCAGTAAAAATGA